CAAAAAAAAGAGAATAAAAATTCATCAACTCTGGACGTGGTGGGGCCAGCTAAACATTTGCCAATAGATAACGACACTGCCTCGTTATCTGTTAGCTGACAGGCTGTCAATCAATCTCCCTAAGTTTCTAGCGTAACTGACTTGCCTGCGCGCCGCCGGTACGTGGTTTACGTACGCCTGTCACGCAGACGCAAGCCGCACAGACGCTGTTTACTCCACCAACGCAACAGTTCTTAGCGGCTTTTTTTGACCTATATCTTCCTCGCAGTTAGCACAAAGTTTGTTGCAATGGCGACAAGAATCCAGGAGCAGTTAGCCGCAAAAGAAAGTCCGTTTTTGAGGTCGCTGAAAGAAGAAGACAAGGGGAAAAGCAGCGAAGCCAAACTAAGGTGATTCTTGTAGATTCATTCCAGCGATGGCGCAACTGAAGCAGACGCATTGGTCGCCAAATTACTCCTGGACAGGTCACTTCTGCTTATTATGAAAACGTACTTTATTTCCAAGAGCTAGACAAACGTTTTTCAGGACACGAAAGCGATATCCTATGTCTGAAAACGTAATTTTCAAGGCAAAGAAAGAGTCCGCTTGCTGCTGCGTGTTGTAGCTAGTTCATTCGCACGGAATCTCCGCGCAACCTTCTCTGCTCCCTTTCCTACTCCTGTCCCCGCTGCCCGTTCCGCTCTTCCCCCTGCTCCTCAGTTCTCCGGGCACGGAATCTCCGCGCACCGCTCCCCTCTCCTCTCTCCTCTCTCCTCTCTCCTCTCCCTGCTCCGCTCTTCTCCCTGCTCCTCACTTCTCGTCCGTGAACGAAATGTCCGCGCACCCGCTCCCCCCGCTCCTCACTTCTCCACCTTGCCTAACCAACACTGTAGTTAGTTGTTTACAAGTCATGTGCAGCACCGGCTGTAAACAAACCTGTTTCTGGCGTAAAGAGGAGGCGGGAGAAGGCGTTTCTACGTAGGGAGCTGTAGGGGAGGGGGGGTGGTTTCACGCATGCGCAACATTTGAAAAAGGACAAACAGTCGCTGGATTTCTCGTTCCTTGGAAAATCCTCTATACAACCTTTAATATTTCTGAGTGCTAAAGTAAAAGTTAAAGGGCCTATATTATGCTATTTTCTGATCTATGTTATTATGTTGTTTCCTCATCACAAACATACCAGGAGTTGGCTGAGTTATACTCTCAAACTCAATATTGTGTGGTAATACAGGATGTGCTCCACTTCACTAAAATCATCTGGATCATTTCAGCTCTGGAAGTGAACTAAAGGTAAAAGATAGCTCTTAACCTGAAAACTGCAGCTTCATGACATCACAAGGTGGAAGAATAACCAATAAAAAGGCACTTTACTTTAAGGTTGGTTATTTTGGAGAAATTTTCTTAAATTTCTGACAATTACTTAAATTCTGTGACCTGAATGATCCCTATTCTCAATTAAAGCAAATATTTTATGCAAATCTGAATATGAACTACTTTCCTTATGAACTTACTCAAAGCTATATTTTGATTAAGTCTCCTCCTATCTCTGCACACTTCTCTATAGCTACATGCAGTTATTCAAATCATTTGGACTCTGCTCATTCATGTGGGGTTCCAAAATGACTTGTTGACGAAATAAGTAAATAAAAAAGCCTATGGTAAAATTGTACGATTAGGAGGCGGGGCCATCGGTTCTGCAGTTTTGACCAGGAAGTCAATGGTCCCATTATCCATATTGCAGTTTTTAAAACCAAATATAAAATCACAACACACAGTGTTTATTACTATGTAAAATGCATATGTCTTCTTTACTCAAATAATCTTGACATCCCTACTGTAATGCCACATCACCACTTTGTTACTCTTCCAGTATGCATATATCTGTGTGTGCAGGCTTAAAGGCGGGTACCGGGCTCTGGACATGGGCTTTCCACATGAGGCCATGGTGGACATGACTGGGGGAGTGGCCGAGGTACTGACCATCAACCGTCTGCCCAGAGATCTATACAGCTTCATCCAATCACTACTGGCCAAAGGAGCTCTCATCAACTGTGCAAACTGCCAGGTACAGGGTAACTTTCTGACAGGGACATTAAAACTATCTGACAGATACCGTAATTTAGGCCTCTAGCTCAGAACTTTCCTTGCAACAAAAGCAGTTACAGTTTGATTTTAATCCGGTACAAAACTAGCTTTATAATAGTTGATTAATTTTAAATATGAAAAATAAAACTAAGAAAATCATGTATAGTTTTTAGAACTCACCATAATCTAATATTTTCCCTTGACCTTCACATTCAGTTCAGTGATGGGTCCAGGATGATTAAAACTGAATCTATCAAATATCTAGGTCTTTGGCTGGATGCTGAACATAACTTCAAACGTCATATTAATTACATCATCAAAAGAACATAATGTTCATTAAGTCCTCTTTATCAGTTAGCTAACAGTTTCTTTTCAAGATATCAAAAAAATATATATATTGCAGTTACATAGTTTTACCCATCATTGACTATGATGATACAATTTATCAAAATACATATACTCTATATCTCAGACCACTAAATGTGCTCTTTAACTATCTTTGTAGATTTATTCTTAAATGCCCATTCCAAACCCATCACTGTATTTTATTTGAAAAACTCAATTAGCTACAACCATACAAGAGACTTCAGTTTCATTGGATTCAATTCATTTTTAAATGTATTTATTTTAACTGTCCCCAGTATCTACATTTGTATTTAGTCCCAATAAGATAGTTATATTCAACACCCATGGTGTCGCTTTTTCTGTTCCCCGAATCTCCAAAGAGTTTGGCTGCAGATTATTTCATTATAAGGTCCCTTCAGATTGGAATGGATTACCCACACCCTCAAGAACTGTAACATCTTTAATTTAAATAATCTTTGTTTTGATATTTCAAAACTCCTTGTTTATGTTTTTAGTTAGTCTTTTTTGCTTTTGTTTGTCCTATTAACTTTTTCCCATTTGTTTATATCATTATTATATCATGTATACTTTATTTTTTATAAATCAGGTACTGTTGCAGGAGTTGGATGGGCAAGAGGGAGCAAGTCTGTCTGTGTGTGTGTTTTGTAATGTAAACTTGTATGTTTTGTATTCTATGCATTGTATTATGTATTATAAGTTTTGGGATTTTTGGATCCACTCGAAAACTAGATGACACATCTTAAGGGACATCCCAATAAAATAAGTAGAGTAGAACTATCTGACAGGTGCAGTGGTACAATCAAGCAGGAGTGGTTGGTTGGACTGTATATAGAAGTCTGTGGTTAGGGTTGATGCTGGAGCATGCCAGGGCCTGTGCCTTCATGCTGCTTTAGTCAGTTCTTTGTGTGTTGGTTGCAGGGCCCTTTAGAGCAGAAGAACCCCCTGGGAATCATGTTCCGACATGCCTACTCCTTGACTGCCATGGAAAAAGTATTTACACACACTGCAGCTCACCAGACACAAGCATAGACTGTAGATTTAAATGGACATAGCTAATGTGCTAGCCACCCCGCTCCAAATAGGAAGATCGCATGTGGCTCTTCCAGCTCCTTCTGACTCTGGCTCCCATTGACTTACATTGGAATATTGTGACCCCTCTCTCTATAACTACTGCTGTGAGCCTCATCATTTTTGTTCTTAAATGTTCATATTAACCAATCGCCCTTGCTTAGTCCACTTCTGTATACAGTCTATGGACTCAAGACACTGACTCAGTTAAAAGGAATTTCAAATTAAATTACAATGTGCACCTTAGAATGAATCTGTGAAATTAAATTATGGCTATTATCACTCTTATTGACTTTGTTAGCAGTTCTCCCTCTGAAGGACTGACTTGACAAGAAGAACTGCATCATATAATCTGTAAAATTTAGCATTCAAAATCAACAGTGATTATTAGTATTAGTTATTATGTGTACATTCTATTTTCACGAAAATGCAAATGAAATGTGTGACGACCCCAGCCTGTGGGCTGTGTGGAGTGCATCGGTTTGTTGGACTCTGTGCGGCTTACTCTTCCCCCTCCCTTCCCTTCCAGTGAGTGGGAGGGACTGGCCATTAGCTGCACCTGGGTGTGGGTGGTGAGCCCACAGGCATGAACCCGAGCATATAGCTCCAGCCACACTGACAATCACTTAAACTCAAACTGCACAGGCACCCTAGGCTTATCCCACAGGTTCTGCATATCAGGGGTAGACTCCAAAACAAAAGGCTAAACAATGGTCACAACAAGCTAAAGACCATACAAACAAAACTGGACCTAACTAAGCACACCAAATGTAAATGGGAACAAAAGGACCACTAAAAATCTATAGTTTCACCAAATAAACACATGGAACTCCCAAACAAAAGTAGTTTGCATGATTAGTTGGCTCCACTACTTATAAAAATACACTAAACAGATGATCCTTACATCACCTACCAAAGAAAGCATACAGATCAGATGAACAAAGACAGAAACTAATGACCCTGAGCTTAACCACAAGCAAATCTGGTCAAAACCTGGCTCAGGGTTTGGACAAGATGGAGTCCACACTTTTTTTAAAGGGAGGTTCAAATACTTTAAAAAGAAAGAAAAAAAAGGTGCAAACAAAGTTGTGGCCACAGTATACTGGGTAGAGAGAGGAGAAAAGATGAGCAGTCTCCAGCAGCCAGCTTTTAAAGGTGGTGGGCCCACCCACATCCAGGTGCAGCTAATGGCCAGGCCCTCCCACTCAACCTGGAAGGGAGGGAAGAGAGGGAATAATGAGCAGCACAGAATCCAACAAACAGATGCACCCCACACCACACAGCCGATAAGATGGGGTCATCACAAAGTTAAATTCACAAATGTTGAACCTGATCATTTCTATTAGTGACTAGACCTTAGGACATAACATATTTCAACAAAATTAATGTTTTTGACAGAAATATTGAAATGAAAAATCCAAACATGTTGAACCTTAACATTATTTGTTTGGTATTGGCTCCACAAACTTGTCATATTAATCTTATGATCCTTTCAGTAATCATGCCTTTGGAGTTCAATAATTGCATCACATTTTATAAAGCTATTGTGACATAAATTGACTTTTGTTTATCTATACTGGCAGAAAAGACGTTGAACATTGTGCCAGCTTTTGATCCATGTGACTGACCCAGTAATTAGAGATATGAACAACTAACCACGTGATTTCAGGCAACCTGAACTTGCCTGAAATCACAACATTCTATAATGCTTATAGTTTAAGATTTAGCTGTAGGACAGAATTCTAGGTTTCATTTCTTGACACGGTCCTGTCTTATGGTTAATTTCTCTTTCATGTGGTTAAAGTCCAGTAAAGTTTATTAATGGACTTTATCCACATGAAACTAAACTTGCACAAGGTTCACAATCTTCTATCTGTAATCAGTCCTTTACAAACAAGGATAGCGTTCAACATTTATGGATCATAAATTAGGACATTTCTTCTAAAAATAATGAATCTTCCTGTGAATTGTATATATCTGAAATTATTTTATGAAATTACAAACCTTAATTTTGGAATGTAAACTATCAGATGGTTGTGTGTGTAACCCACTGCTCTCCTTGTGGTGTAGGTGAAGACGGCTCATGGACCCGTTGAGCTGGTGCGACTCCTCAACCCCTGGGGAAACACTGAGTGGGAAGGGCCATGGAGCGACTCCCAGAGGTCTTTGCTTTCTCCTGTCTTGATTGTGCATGTGTTTGTGCTTATTCTGATATGATGTATGTCCCCAGTCCAGAGTGGAGCACTGTGAGCCCCCAGGAGCAGCAAAGGCTGGGCCGGGTCAACCGCGAGGATGGGGAGTTCTGGTATTTATATACCTCACACACTGGGGCAGACTGTCAACAAATTTCTGTTCTATAGATTAAATCCAAACAGTTTCATTTAGTGCATGGATTTGTTCCCTATGTCCCTTCTATTCCATTTTTTCTCTTAAGAAAGCACATAGAGGATGAGTTCACATTGGCAGATACACCACATAAAATCTGGAGTTATCTGGAAATCATACCAGAACTAGACGAAAGTTAGTACCTGATGTAAGACCAAACTGTCTACATCAGGCCTTTACTGGACTAGACTAGGACTAATTAGAACAAGTGTCATAATTTCAGTCCTAATGAAAAACTTTTTTTTATATAATTTTGTTGTCTGAAACATTACACTGGCAAAGCAAATACAATATGTATCAGTTAATGAAATTATGGCATAGTATGCTATGAGCCGACTCCCATTCTGCTCGTTTGATGTTGTCAGGATGTCTGTGGCAGACTTCCGGCAGAACTTTGAGTTAATGGAGGTGTGTCACCTGACCGAATCTCCCAGCCAGTCAGCATCCAGTGTACCATGGTGCTGTGTAATGCACCACGGGAACTGGGTGCCAAGTATTTCAGCGGGTGGCCCTGCTCACTCAGGTACATACGTTCATTTATGGGCATATAACTTTACCTTGAGAGAATGACCTTACCCTATGTGTGTGTTTCAGGCTTGTTCTGGCAGAACCCTCAATTCCAACTAGAGCTTTCTCACGCTGACCCCTCCATGGAGGCTCAGGTCTGCTCCTTTGTGCTGTCTCTGATGCAGAAGCACCAGCGGCGCAGAGGGTTAAACCTGTCCACAGCACTACATGTGTACAGGGTAGGGACAAAGACTGTTTCTTGATCTGATGAGATGAGCTACCATGGTCATGAACTGCCTCATCCTCAGGCCCACCCTCGGAACACATACCTGTCCCCCTCTGACCTGAGCTCTACTCAGCCTCTCCTCTGCAGCCTGCAGTACTCCTCCAGGCGGGAGGTGGTGCTGCGGAACAGTCTACCCCCGGGCCGCTACATCATCATCCCCTCCACTGCCGAGGCCAAACAGCAGGGCGCCTTCCTACTCCGAGTGCTGACTGAGCAGAGCAATGCTGCCAGGTCTGTGGTTTACTTCTTTACTGTTTTTAAAAGTAAGAAGCAGAGAATGAGTGATGGCCTTGTTGTGTTTCAGACCGCCTCATACACCAACACCACAAGACATCACCCCAGTGAAGGAGGTAGGTCCACCACAGAAAGTGGCCAGTCAACATCTGCCACACAAGAAACTTATGAAATACACGGAGTTCCCATTAGTCCATCACAGACTGAAGAGACTAGTGTACATGAATGCATGCAGAAATACATGCTCATATGCACATGTACATTTTTGTTGGATTAACTCCAGATGTGCTTTCTTTCTCCACAGCCTTCATCTCCACATCAGACAGCTCTGCCCTCTCCCAAATCCATCAGGCGTCTCTTTGAGAAGCACTCTGACAAGGTGGGGGCAAAGGCTGACGGCTCTTATGGAAATCATCATTTGAATGTTTTCTGCAACTAAGAAAATAAGAATATATATCATTGTGTTTTGTTAGACACTGGCTAACCCTGTAGTTTAGACCAATGGCCAGACATTTCTTTGGCAGTAAATGTTTCCTATCCATAGGAGGTACATCACAGTACATCACAAGATACTTTTTTCAAATGGTTCTGCCCTACTGAACCTTGCAACTCAGACAATTACACACGTTATGAGTCACTGGCTGTCTACAGAACATGATTCCATAGTTTTGTATTTTCAGAAAGGCCTCTGCAAACCACTGCACCTCTACAAACTTCTGAAGGAGGCCATTCAGGGAGGAGGTCAGTAAGGTTGACTCTTTGGGGCATTGCTTTCACTTAATATTATTCAATGCTATACCTCAATTATGAGATACTTTATCATTAATAGCTGAGAAAAATCCTTCGCCTTTAATAGTTGTGTTGTTTTTTCTCTGGGTGATCGCAGTTCTGAATGGCAGTGAGAGGTACCTGGATCTGGAGCAATGTAAGAGCTTGGTGGTGCTTATGGATGTATCCTTCAACACTCATAAACCTGATTTATAATGGAAATGTACAGTTGGGAAATGGAGGTGCAAAGTCAAAGTGTTCTTAATATAGGTTCACTGACTTCATTTGTTTTATGCTTTTTAAAATTATTCAGTTCATATACAGCATTGACCTACATTCAAGGAAGTATTGTTATAAAGGTTTCAGAGTATCAATGAATAAATGAGACATTCTCTAAATGGTCACAGGGAAACACCAAGGGTAATGTTGTCACCTTAATAGTGGAGAGAACACTATCAGTCAAAGGTTTGGACACACTTTGTTTATGTTTCTTTATGTACTTTCAACGGAAGACATCAAATATATGAAGCAAGAATTAGGTATGTGTGTAAAATCCCAGGTAGTCCAGGTAGAATACATAATTTCTCCTTTTGCCGAGAATTAGGTAAAAAGAAAAACATTAAATAACTCAACTAAATATTTCTTTATATCTTTAATTAGCCACCCTTTACTTTTGTTGACAACACCACAAACCCTAGGCAGCCTGATCTAAAGGTTGGTGGTGTGGTTCCAGCTCCCACAGATCACTGCTGTTGTTGTGTCCTTGGGCAAGACTCTTGACCCATTGTATGAATGTGTGTGAATGAGTGAGTGGTTCCTTGATGTAAAAGTGCCATATAAAAATGTAACCATTTACCATTCTCTATGAGCTTTTTGATGAAGTCGTCTGAAATGGTTTTCACTTCACAGATGTGTCTTGCCAGGGTCAAGAAATACCAAAGGGCAAACCAGGGTTCAAAGCAAAGCATAAAAATAATGAAAAAAAAATATGAAAAACGTTTAGTTTTTTATTTGTTACATTCCATGTGTCATTCATAGTTTTGAAGTCCGGGAAAGGAGGTGGGGTTTAGCTGCAGAGGGTCTGGTGATAGCATAAGTCAGGACACACACATTTTCCTGACCTGTCCCTCAGACACAAGGGATTGCCAAACTGAACTGGCCTGAATTCCAGGGTCTGTGGGACAAGATCCGGAGGTGGACAGTGAGTCACAGTTCACCACATGTAGGGTGGGGTCAGAAATGTTTACAACTATTTTCTTGGAGACAGATTATGATTTCTATTTCAGCACAGTTTCATAGTAGCTTTGTGACCTTCATAGACTCCAGCTTCAATTCACTTTGTATTGAAAAAATGTTGCCTGTCTATCTGTAACAGCTGCTGTGCATAATACTGTTTTTTTTTGTTGTTGTTTTTAACTCAATTCCAATTCCTAATATAGAACTTGGTTCCAAATTCACCCTGTAACTACTAACCTTGGTGAACTTCATTTGACTGGAACGTTCGGTTCGGTGACGTCACACTCCCCTAGTCCACTTCTTTATACAGTATATGGCATAGAGCTACAAAGAACAGACAGTTACTGAATCATAATATGGCGACATGACCCAAATAGTATAGGCCTACTGTGACAGGAATTATATCAGGATTAGATTTTTCTGTCCATTTTACCCAGCCCTAATTATACTGCTTTTTCCTCTAGCCTGAGTCTCACTCTGAGGTGTGTGTTTTAGGACATTTTCCTGGTGTTCGATAAGAACAAAAGTCAGCGGCTGGAGTACCAGGAGGTGGGCCCGGCTCTGAAGGCTGCTGGTGAGACATCTTTTCTCAAATATGAGCTACCCTGTATTCACCAGACATACCAGTAGAGGGAGCCACTTCATCCATGAGAAGGATAAAATAGCTGTGGTTTCAGGTGAAATCATGAAAATGAATAAATATAGGGAAAACTAGACATATGTCCTATAGTGACCTGCCACATGAGGGGACACGCACACAAACACACACAAACAAACACACACCTTCATCATCGTCATTAACCTGAGAACGCGCGGACCACGTTTCCTTCCGTAGACACTGCGCGGACACCGACGTGCTCCCGTGAGCCGCGTGTGGATCGTGTTTTCTCGCATACGCGGCATAAACCGCGCTTCCTCCTGTGCGCCTCTAAACCAGAACTAACACCAAGACTAAAACCAGGACTAATCCAGTCCAGGACTAAACCAGGTCTAAACCAGGTCTAAACCAGGACTAAACCAGGACTAAACCAGGACTAAACCAGGACTAAACCAGAACTAAAACCAGAACTAAAACCAGGTCTAAACCAGGTCTAAACCAGGACTAAACCAGGACTAAACCAGGACTAAACCAGGTCTAAACCAGGTCTAAACCAGGTCTAAACCAGGACTAAACCAGGACTAAACCAGAACTAACACCAGGTCTAAACCAGGACTAAACCAGGACTAAACCACAACTAACACCAGGACTAAAACCAGGATTAATCCATTCCAGGACTAAACTAGGACTAAAGTAGGTCTAAACCAGGTCTAAACCAGGACTAAAACCAGTGATCTCATATATAAAGCATTTCTCTATCAATAATATTTTTAATATGGTTAAGGAAAGACTGGACTTTTTATTGTCTTTAAGTAGACAAAAGTTATTATGTTCAGATTTCCTCGTCTTTGCTACTTTACAACAAACAGTTTCTTATTCATGGAGACTTGGGCTCAACAGCCAAATTGGAGAGATTTGTTAAACAATAAATGACTTTATAAAGTCACTTTTTTAAATCTATATTAGTCTTTTGATCTGCCACAATAATGTAATAATGAATTTAAATTAAAATACCTCAAATTGAAGGCTTTTCTCAGCAATTTTTAGGTGAGATTAAAATGAGATTAATTAGATTAATTAATTACAGATCATAATTAATTAATCTCTCAATTTTTTTAATCGCATGACAGCACTAAACATACCATGGTGTCACTATTTTTCAGATGTGGGTAAGAAAAATACTTCAAAATGATATTTCTCAGGCAGTAGTGGTCCAAGAAATTACTCAAGTAAGAATAAACAAATATTTGAAGTAAGTAAGAGCAACTTAAAGAGTAACTAGATGTAACATTTGATTTAAAAAAAAATCCTAACCCTAACCCACAGTGTGGAGATTGGGGTGAAGCTGCAGATTAGTGTACTTTATCTCCAACCTTCTATGCATTAAAAATCATGTATCTGAAATATTGCACCACATTTCGCAACTAATAATAATAATAATAACCACACAGTTTTGACTTGCAGCTAAACTAGATGTGCAATGCTCTGATCTTTTGAACACTTAAAATCTCAAAGTGAATGGTTTTACTAGGCAGAAAACAGCTGACGCGAGTGCGCTCACTGTTTTGTAGCCTGTAGTGCTCAGCCAGATCCCGCTGCAGTCTTTACGATCAAAGATTTAAAATCTCATACAATTCTCCTTGTGTTTGTGGTGGGCAATTATTTTTGCACGATTAAAAACCATTTAGGACTGAAAAATCCTGTAGTGTGTGGCAGCCTTAAAAGTAGTGTTACTTCCAGTAATATACTACTCGAGTAGGAGCAGAAGTAGGCAGCTAGAGAACACTTGGAAAAATATAATTTATTTAAAAAGTTGCTCAAGTAAATTTAACTGAGTAAATGTAACTTAGTACTACCCACATTTGTTAAAGTGGGATGAAATGAGGAGTAGGATTAAAATCTGTAGCCGCATTCATAGTTAATCTGTCATTTTGTCCAGTGTGCTGACCTCCACCTTGTGTGCACAGGCATCTCAGTGGATGATGTAGTGATGCAGCTGGTAGGCCTCAGGTACACGGAGCCAGACCTGACCATCAGTTACCCAGGCTTCCTCTATGTGCTCATGAAGCTGGAGAGTATGATTCGTAAGCGCCTTTGCTCTTTGGAGTTAGCAATGAGTGATTTTTACTCTCTACTGTGCATTAATCAGGCTTTTAAATCTACTTTTGTAACACTTGCTTTGAATTGCATCAGCATGAATTTTTTTTAACCAATTTTAATTTAACCTCTTGACTGGTTTGTTTTTTGCCAAGATATTTTGCAGCATTAGTGAATATAAATATCTCGTAACTAATCTTAAGTTATTAATATAAAGTTAGAATAAAATAAAATCTTCCAGTGCCACCAAAGCCTTTGCCATTTATTGTCACAATTAGAGATGAAGCTTTTCTCTTCTGATACCAATATTAATATTATGGATTTAAAGATCTGCTGATATCTGATAGTAACCAATACAAGTGTAGGGTTTGAAAAATGTTTTCTCTCAAAACACAATCAATAAATTAGATCCAACTGTGCCAAGTAACATATTTATCCTGCAAGTAACTACAAAACAGCTTTGCATGAATTAAAGTTCAAACATTATGAGACTTCCTGGGCCTACATCAATCAGTCAATGATCCCATTACATCCATTTAAAGGCCAATCCAGCATTTGATGATGATGATGATGATTAGTAATAATAATAATAATAATAATAATAATTTGTCTTATATAGTGATTTTCCAGATGCCCAAACTCACTTTACAGTTTCGTGCAGCATTCTTTCACTTCAGTTTTTAAAAAGTTACACAGGTTAAAATAACTCAGAACTACCTCCCGCAGCTGATTTAGTAGCATTTCCGTAATAAGTTTCAGTGAAATTGTATATAATTCTGAAATGTGTATGTTTTTCTTTTATTCTTTGACAGATAAATTTGAGGCATATGATATGGTCGGAATGGGAGCCATCACAGTCAGTTACAGACAGGTATATTGTACAGGATTCTGTACCCCTTTTGAAGTGCCAGAAGTGTTTCTCATGTGATTGTGTCCTGTTTCAGTGGCTTCAGATGACGATGTACAACTGAGCCGTCTGGTTTGAATAGGTGCATGAGATGGGACCATAAGCTCTTCCATAGTATGTAGTGGAGTAGTGCTTTTATGCCAGTCTGTAGCTTTACATTTGTTTGTTTTGACGTAAATTCTTTGCAAACTCATCATTTTAAGAATACTCCCAGATTTCATGGTATAATGCACAGGTGTCAAACATGTGGCCCGGGGGCCAGATCCGGCCCTCCAACACCTTTAATCTGGCCCTCGGCTGATTTTCTACTAAAATATTTTAATTATATTTTCTATTAAAATATTGGTAATTTTCTGTGGTGTTTATCACAGCAGTGTCTCCAGCGCCTCTGTACGTGGCCCCTCCCACCAGAGCAGCACAAATGAAGACTTGTCTCTTTTCAAACGCTCTTAAAGGACGATTGTTTTGACTGTTGATCGTGACACCCTCATCAGCAAAATGTCCAACATGAGAAAAGTGGAGCAGAGTGCAGGATTTTACAAAAAAAATTGACTTATTCCTATTTCTACAAGTTAATTTTATACAAGTTCATGTTAAAACATTGTGTTGAAATTGTATTTTTCTTAAAGTTTCAGGTTGTTCATAATATTATAATATTTTGTAAAAGAAAGAGTTCATCAATTAAAAAAGATTTCTGTAATAGATTTGCGTTTCTCTGCACAAATATTTGAACTTATTGTTATTTTTGGGGTTTATATGACATGAGTTTTCTGATCTGGCCCCTTTGGGATCAAAGTCGGTTGGATACGGCCCCCGGACCAAATGAGTTTGACACCCCTCGTATAATGTATAAATGAGAAAAATGTAAATGCATAAAACATACAATTTTTAATAATAAATAAAGAATAAATAAAGTATGGATATCACTTGTAGTTATTATCTCATAGAAACAAAACATACTTTGAACAAACCAAAGACCACATACACTGCCAGTCAAAGGTTTGGACACAGTTTTCATTTAGTTTCCTTTACTTAGTTTCCATTATTATCTGCCTTGTAGATTCTCATTACAGGCATCAAAACTATGAATTACTGAAAATTATATTAAAGCCACTTGCCCCAGTGTGCACATCCCTCTCATACGACCACTGGGACCATTCCCTCTTCCTGACAGTTTCCCAAGCCCGACAGATCCTCCACCACAAAAACATACATAGTGCACCTTAAAATGTTTTTTTAGGAGTCTTTGTGCCCCTCTTGGTCAACTTTTAAAATTGCCCATATCCTCACCTTCTGACGTAATTCTGCCCTCTCACTTTTCTGTTGTAAGTGCACCCCTCACCAGTATGACCCTCTCACCTGTTTGAAATCACTTCACCCTCTCATCTGTCTAACGTGGCTCTACCTTCTTATCTGTCTAACATGACTGCCCTCTCACCTGTCCGATGTGACTCTGCCCTCTCACCTGTCTGATGTGACTCGGTTCTCTCACCTGTCTGAGGTAACTCCACCCAGTAACCTGTCTGATGTAACCCTGCATTCGATTATCCTTCCGAAGTTGCCTAACAACACGTGTGACATGTAAATATAAACTGTTTTCATTGTGTTCACACTTTGGTGGTTTAAATGACTATTTCAGTCACTCGTATTACTGCAATACCATACGGCATCGGTATGACTGCCTAAGGGTGTGGTAGTCGGTGTTATGGTGAGGCTCTCTGAGTTCGACACTCGAAACATAAAATTACGCTTAAAGCTCGGACATGACGTCAAATCCAAGGTCGCAAGATTACTGAACGCAGTGTAAGTCTGCCCACTTACCTGTCTGATGTAACTCCGCCTTCTCACCTGTGTGTTGTGACTGCTCTCTCATCTGTTTGACGTAACTCCGCCTTCTCAACTGTCTGATGTAAACCATGCCCTTTTACCTCTCTGACAGGACTCTGCCCTCTCACCTATGACATAACTCCGCCGTCTCACCTATTTGACTTAACTCTGCCCTCTCACTTGTATGAGGTAACTCCGCCCTCTCACTTGTTTGATGTTAGTTCATTTAGGTTAAAAAAGTAGCCTCCCGGTAGTGCTTGGTATGCAAGGTTCTAGACCTGAGCCCAAAAATGCAAGGGAACCTTGGTTATATGGTGGGTTGCAACTAATGTTTTAGGTGCATACAGCCACCTACTGTACCATGGTGTGCATCACGTCTCTTGCCACCATCTTACCTACCATAAAATTTTTTTTCATAATTTTAGTTGTAAAAGTGTTGAAATTGTAGTGACTGTACTACACTTATGGAAACAAAGCTATAGTCTACTTCACGATGGGTCTGACTGAAAGGTAGATTAACCAGAGACACTCATTGTCCGTCCGCATCAAAACAAATATGGGTGCTAATGAGGAAAAAAGACAGGAAAATAATATCACAGAGGACTGCAAAGCATTGAAGATTTCTGCAGAAAATCAGAAATTCAGAATCAATAAACAAAGCACTAAACTTTGTTAATCTGAGATTAGGGAAAAGTTATTTTATTTGTAAATGATGGATGACCAATGAGCTCCTTCATTTCATATGTGTTACTGAAATAAACAAATCAGGTTGTGCAGTCATGTTTGGTTCTGGCTTGGCATGTGATGGAGGGAATGGGACCAGACTGTATAAAAATACAGAGAGATATTATTCTGGATAGAGACCATCTACTTCTCTTATAAATAAGCTTTGCCTGGAATTTGAATAGGCGTATCACATAACATTACACATACATTTATTCAGTAACATGCTTTCCAAACCATAAAAACAAAGCATGTATCGTAGCGTAAAAAAAAAAAAAAAAATCCATACTATGGAACATCTATGTAGAGACAAGCAGTGGACGGACCCTCTATCAGAAAAAAAAAATGAAAAATTCACGGAAACAGTCCCTCGGATTGGTAAACACCCACATGTAGCCTGTCAAAATAAACTTCCACGTTGACCAATAGCCAAATTGCCACTCTGCTTATGATAGGCTTTGCTTTTTTAAATGTGGGACATCATTAGACTATATTTCAATAGGTTACGATTGTCGCCGGGGCCTCACACATTCTTGCACTATTAATGTTTCTGCAGAGAATGCATTTATTGTCCAGAGGCTGCGGGTGCGGCGGAAGCGCGGCTACGGCGGAGAGCATGTCACTTGACAGCCGCTGCACATTGTAGGAGCGGCCGATCCGCCCAGTCACACCGTTCACAGCTCTTTTCTTGTGGCAGGAGCCGTACGAAAAAAAACACTCATCTGGACCAGGAGATCCTGAGCTGTCCCTGGCCTTATTTCTTTACTTTTTTCTTTTTCGTTCTGTTCGATTGTTGAAGTCCATTCCTTAGTCTTGCGCTCATCTTCTGTTAACATGGTCGACTATCACGCCGCCAACAACCAGTACTCTGCCGGCGGGCCGCAGAATGCCTACATGGAGCAGGAGGACGACTGGGACCGCGACCTGCTGCTGGACCCTGCGTGGGAACGGCAACAGCGCAAGGTAAGCGGGCACCGGGGCTCTGGCCTGCCAGTGGGGTGCTGGGGATTGGGGACTTCTTCAGCCTCTCGAGGGCTTCGGTCTTCCCTCTGGACTTTTCCGCTCACCGCTGCCTCCTCTCCTCCACTCTCTAGATTCCTAAGCTAACGTGTGCGTCGCGCGTAAAAGGCAGACTGGTGTCAGCCTCTGGCTGCTTTCTCCTTTGCTTTATCCTCTGTTCCGCGGCGGAAGCGGAGTGCCACAATGTTGCAAACCCGCTGTGGCCCTGGAAAAGCGAGAGCCGAGAGTGTTCTGGGCGATATCAGGAATGCTAGCCTTACCAGTTTAGAGGAGGCCCGTTTTACACCGCTCCAGCTCCCCGCGTTTCAGTTACTCAGCCATGTTGAACACCTCATTGAAGATTTGTATCTATTCTGTGAACTTCAGCAGACTGTTAAGAGCCCACACTTCAGATTGTGGAGAAAAAAAACCTGTCTAGCTCAAGGAGCATCGCCTTGAGTTGGAAACAAGCCATTGAACTTTGTAACATGGTGCTATATCTTTGCACAAGGCTTGTCAGTCGCAGTGGTCAGAGATGTCAGGCCTACAGTCAGATCCTATAGGCCAACAGGCATTCAATCCTAGTGCCAGAAGGTCTTCCCTTTTACAGTGGGATTACTTGGGTGTTTAATAACCTAGAATCTAGAATTCTAGAATTGTGGAGCTTTCTTTCGCCATCTTTTTTATCAATATCTTTGACTTCACCCGGCCCTTACTGGACCATTGCTTTGCTGCATCTTTTTAATTAGCCTAGAACCATGCACTACTAGTGCCATGTATTGTAGTAGGCCTAGTAGAGTACAGTAGTAGTATTTGGGAGCAGGGTGTGTTGTACAGCTGGCTTTGGTGCTGCAGCTTCACATTTCTGACATTCCTTCTCTTGGTTTGACAGCGTGCCACACATTGTCCTGGGCATTTTTTACATGCTCTTGAGTCCTATCCTGCTAATCACTGGGCACCTTTCAATAGCCTCATAATACTAAAATGTCAAACTCTATTCCAATACTAAGGAATAGACTGAATATACAATACCAATTCAGAGACTATGATGTCAATAAAAACACTCTTTCTTTAGACAATAGAATGTTATTTTCACAATTAAATCATAGTTGCTTCTTTTATTTTACCATGTAGCCGTATATCTCACATATAAATGCCCGTGCACCTCATAGTGGTGCATGCGCATATACTAGTATATGTATAGTTCAATATAATTTTAAATCTATTCAGGAAAGTTTAATTTCTGTAGTGTGAATGTGACTTTTTTTTTTAGTATACTTAATATATAGTTTCTCAAACGAGTCTAGCTTCGATTCTACTTTTATGATCGATTTTAGTATCTAATTTTTGATATGTTTGACAACACTACCTCCTAAATTTGTCAACTTTAAAGTAATCTAGTGCTGTTACACCAACTATATACACACATTTTAATATGCTCTTTTATCACACCTTTATTGCTGAGTAGCTTAGAGGGATACTTGTGTGACCTGCTGATATTCCTGAGTCAGGGCAGGGAGGTGTGTGCATATTTGTACTGAGAGCTCACCGGTCAAAGTTTCTTGAAAGGAAAGTCTTGTTGCCAATCATTAACAGATCTTGTGCAATGAGCTAACCACTTGTGGTTACTGATGTATGAAAAGGGCTGGTCAGGAGGATCAGTGCAGGACCGGTGGTGACAGTTTTTTTTTTCCTTTTCATTTTGAAATATTCCGTGAAGTGAGTTCCTGCTTTCCTTTTTGTGGAAGCAGAAACCAAGGTTCTCCAGAGCTTCCAATGCAAACAACCTTTCCACTTGTTTGAACATGTCTTTGTACCTCTGATCGCTGTGGCACATTCCCAACGACGGTTAGGCTCACAGTTTTCTCATGCAGAGCTAGTGGAACAGCCAGGAGTCAAAGCAGTCCGACTGCCTGATGCCCTGTCCTGATCCTGTTTTTCAACCAGTCCCATCATGTTCTCCTGTTGTTGTCCTCCTCCTGATGTAGGGAGGGGTAGGGTTGTGAAAAGTATTGAAAATCAGATACCACTCCATTCTAAAACTAGTATCAAAACTAGATAAGAGTTATTTACTTATTTGAGCAAATAATGAAACTAAAAAAGTCACATTCACAGGACAGAAGCAAACCTTTCCTGAATAACTTTAGAATGATGTTGAGCTGTATCATAACAAGTATAAGAGCACGTAGACCAATAAATGCCCTTGGACCACTGAAAGATATCACAGAAGGTCACATGGCAATATAAAAGAAATTGCTATGATTTAAATAAGTGTTCTTATTATCATGGTAGTATCAAAATCTGTATTAATTATAAAATTTTATTCCTTACTTGAAATCAAGTCTGAAATTTTAGTATTGTTACAACACTAGGGTGGAGGGATGTGAGATCAAAATTAATCAAGATTAATCAATATGTTGCTTATTGGTCAATATGTCTTGATACAATCATTTTTGGGGGGATAATTCTGCTTTAGGGTTATTGTGTCAGTGGTGTAAATTAGTTTCCATTAGATCCCGACCAATATATCGGTTGGCCGATATTATCAGCCGATATGGGCACCTGGAGACATGTCGGCTATTGGCCGATATGCTCGCTAATAGGGGCCGATATTTCACGTGGGCATGTTATATGTCGTTATAAAGCTTAGACTTTCTACATTCTGTTCATTTAATCCAATTTACAGACAGATAAATGTCCTAATATGTGACTCCACATCAGTATTTATCTACGGAGTCATTTGTCTGTGTGTGTGTGTGTGTGTGTCTGTACTGTCCCTGAACACACCCCCAGAGTCACGTCACTCATGTGCGTTTGTTTACACCTGCAGACACAGATCCAAACACTGAGATGATTTTTTCTTTTTTTCTTTTTACGGACAATCGGTTTCAGTCTGGATTAAAAGGACATGTATTAGTGCAGACTTGTGATGTGAGGAGGAGCCTGTGTGAGCGGTGAGTGTTTGAAATACTTCGACTTTGCAGCTAGTTTTGGTAATTTGTTATTGGTTAGCGATTAGCTGCTGTAGCTCCCATACATAAACAGGCTGTTTTCTATTGGCCTATTGTAAAGTGACTATATTGACTGTATATTTGTTACTGGACCAGCATTGATATGTAAATAAGATGTCAATAGATGTGTGAATGATCCCCATTTATGCCTATAATTAATTACCACGGCGCACACGCATTAACGGCTAAAGGCTAATAGCGATAGTTTCTTTACTAGCAAGTAGTGATGGGTCGGTCATGAACGAAATGGCTCTTAGAGCCGGACTCTTTGAAGCAAACCTGCTCCTGAGCCTGCTCCTTATTGGGAGCCGTGTTTTCTCTTTCTCTCACCGTTTTTCTCTTCACGCAGACTCGTGGTAGTTTGACAGCAGCTGAAAACAAAACTTTCAGAAATCTGCGTGTGCATAGGAGAGAAAAAACGTGCAAGTTCGTCTGTAGTTCAGCATAAAATAAATAAACCAGGACTAATCTTGGGTTCGAGAGACGGAGAGATATAGAGACTGAGTCCCGACACTCAGTCCTGGTTCAGTTCTGGTTTAATCCTGTTTTAAACATGGTTTAGATCGGTTTCAGTCCTGGTTTAGACCTGCTTCAGTCCTGGTTCAGTCCTGGTTCAGTCCTGGTTCAGTCCTGGTTCAGTCCTGCTTTAGTCCTGCTTTAGTCCTGCTTTAGTCGTGCGTTAGTCGTGCGTTAGTCGTGCGTTAGTCGTGCGTTAGTCGTGCGTTAGTCGTGCGTTAGTCGTGCTTTAGTCGTGCTTTAGTCGTGCTTTAGTCGTGCTTTAGTCGTGCTTTAGTCCTGCTTTAGTCCTGCTTTAGTCCTGCTTTAGTCCTGCTTTAGACCTGCTTGCAACAAAACAATCTGAAGAGCCGCTTGGGAGCCGAAAGAGTCAGCAGCTTTTAGTGAGCCAAGCCAAAAGAGCCGGTTCTCTAAAAAGAACTGGAATACCCATCACTAGTAGCTAGAATGTGATGCAAAAACTACTGTCTGTAAATATGACGTAAAGAGGCAGAATAACAATAAATGTTGCCTAAATAAACCCAATTTAAAATCCACTAGAGCCAAACCTAAGTTTTTTAAACAATTCAAGATTTACAGTTAATTTTTACATCACTAAATATATATCGGTGATTATATCGGCTATTGGCAGATCCAACTTCCATTTTATCGGTATCATATCGGCCACAACAAAATCCATATCGGTCGGGCCCTTGTTTCCATATTATCATTATCATGTATAATGTCTTCATCAATATATCATACTTCAAAATGTGTTACTGTGACAGGCCTAAGCAGGACGCTGAAGTGTGGAGAGGGAGAATAGCTCATAAGATTCATGACCAATTTAGTTGCACATCTCTCAGCCCTGAGTCTCCCATGACTGCAGAGGTGAGAAACTACCATGCTGTCTTTAACTTTATGACCATCATTTACATAGCTGTAGCATTTGCTGCTCAGTCCTGGACCAGATGAGATGGTCAGGGCTGGCTGTGGGGTTGCTGTTGTTTTCATGTTTGAACAAACATCTCAAACAAAGCTCATTGCTCATACACTGCTTTTCTTCCTTCTTGTGCCTAAAAGGATTCTACAACAAGGAAGCATTCCTCATTTACACATATCCACGCCTCACTTACTAGTTTGCCTTTTTATGTGTTTAAGTGTTCGTACCAATTTTAGGAGGGAATAGTTGAGGCATTAGAGTTCTGGATCCATAGAGTAAAGGTAGTAGTGGGAACTGTGGAGTCCGGAGTAGACTTGTCTTGATAAGTTTGAAGTGCCATATATTGCAGTAAAACATTATGATAAATGATAATATTGAAACTTCCTTAATGCCAATGACACAATAACCATAAAGCGGGATAAACCCTTTTCTAAACATAAATACAGTTAGAAACATGACCTGCCTGCAGTATACAATAATTAAAGTAACAACACCTGTAGGAATATCACATTTTA